AAGGATCGCGGCCTGACGGGGAAGGTATGGATCATGTGTGTGTAATTAAAATTCGAGAGCGTAATAAATGGCTCGAATTGCCCATATAAATTTCAATAAGGAAAAATACCACGTTGGATGTCACACATGTGGGGTATGTTTATAGGAAGGAGGTGGGAGAGTGAAAGGTTCGTAGTGGGAAATTTTCTTAACCCATAAAAACTGGGAATATTAGAAGCCGATGCTACCAGATGGTTAATTTTGGGTCATTTCAACCATAAAACATCCACTCCGGCATTTACCTAGAAAATCGCACTAGTCCTTCTAAAAGCGTGTACCGTGTATAACACAACATTGTTTAAATCCAATACTGAGCAACAATTGCAAAAATTTTACCAAATTTTAAGCATTAATATATTATTTCTACATGGTTTTGTCAAGTAAGTGCGTCAATTCTGCTAAAAAAACAAGACTGGGTGTCCCTGAGATTCTTCAAACTATTTTAAAAACAAAACAGTAGGTCCCTCTGCAATTTTTTAAACTTCTTTCGAAAACTAACGTCAAGTGCCTCTGACATTCCTTAAACTAACGTCGAGGACCGTCGAGATTGTTTAGACTTCTTTCAAAAACCAACACCAGGTGCCCCCGAGATTCTTTAAACTAACACAATGTACCTCCGAAATTAAGCAGCAGATGCCCCTGAGACTCTTTAAACTAACAAAGGATCTCCGAGATTCTTTAAATCTTTAAATTTCTTTCAAACACAAACGTCAGGTGTCTTTGAAAGAAGTCCGAGATCTTTAATATATTTCAAAGACAAAACGACAAGTGCCTCTTGAGATTCTTTAAATTTCTTCCAGAAACTAACATTATGTGCCCCTGAGACTCTTTAAACTAATACAAAGGCATCCCGAAATTCTTTAAAAATCTTTCAAAAATAAAACCTCGTAGCCCTGGAGATCTTTAAATGTTTCAAATAAAAAACAACAAATGCCTCTGAGATTCTTTAAAGTAGCACAAAGGATCCTCGAGATCTTTAAATTTCTTTCAAAAACGAACGTCATGTGCCCCTGAGACTCTTTAAACTAACAAAACAAAGGATCTCCGAGATTCTTGAAATCTTGAAATTTCTTCCAAACACAAACGTCAGGTGCCTTTGAAAGAAGGCTGAGATCTTTATACTATTTCAAAAATAAAACGACAAGTGCCTCTTGAGATTATTTAAATTTCTTTCAGAAACTAACATTATGTGCCCCCGAAACTCTTTAAACTAACACAAAGGCATCCCGAGATTGTTTAAAAATTTTTCAAAAATAAAACCTCGTAGCCCTGGAGATCTTTAAATGTTTCAAATACAAAACAGCAAATGCCTCTGAGATTCTTTAAAGTAACACAAAGGAGCCTCGAGATCTTTAAATTTCTTTCAAAAACGAACGTCATGTGCCCCTGAGACTCTTTAAACTAACAAAGGATCTCCGAGATTCTTTAAATCTTTAAATTTCTTTCAAACACAAACGTCAAGTGCCTCTTCAGATTCTTTAAATTTCTTCCAGAAACTAACATTATGTGCCCCTGAGACTCTTTAAACTAGCACAAAGGCTTCCCGAGATTCTTTAAAAATCTTTCAAAAATAAAACCTCGTAGCCCTGGAGATCTTTAAATGTTTCAAATACAAAACAACAAATGCCTCTGAGATTCTTTAAAGTAACACAAAGGATCCTCAAGATCTTTAAATTTCTTTCAAAAACGAACGGCATGTGCCCTGAGACTCTTTAAACTAACAAAAGGATTTCCGAGATTCTTTAAATCTTTAAACTTCTTTCAAACACAAGCGTCAGGTGCCTTTAAAAGCAGTCCGAGATCTTTAAACTATTTCAAAGACAAATCGACAAGTGCCTCTTGAGATTCTTTAAATTTCTTTCAGAAACTAAGATTATGTGCCCGTGGGACTCTTTAAACTAACACAAAGGAATCCCGAGATTCGTTAAACATCTTTCAAAAATAAAACTCCAGAGCCTATGAGATCTTTAAACCTTTAAAACACAAAACAATGAGTGAATCTGAGATTCTCTAAAATAAAACAGAGGATCCCCGAGATCTTTAAAATTCTCTCAAAAATAAGCGTCATGTGTCCTTGATATTCTTTAAATTAACACAAAGGACACCCGAGATTCTTTAAACTACTTCAAAGCCAAAACAGCAAGTGCCTCTGATATACTTTAAATTTCGTTCAAAAAGAAACGTCAGTGCCCCAAAGTCTTTAAACTAAAACAAAGAACCCCCGAGAATCTTTAAACATCATTCAAAAACAAACGTCAAGTGCTTTGAAGACTCTTTAAACTAACACAAAGGATCTTCGAGATTCTTTATATTTCCTTCAAGACAAACGTTAAGTACCCCTGAGATTCTTTAAACATCTTTCAAAAATAAAACCCCAGAGCGTTTGAGATCTTTAAACCTTTCAAACACAAAACAACGAGGGAATCTGAGATTCTCTAAAATAGAACAGAGGATCCCCGAGATCTTTAAATTTCTCTCAAAAATAAACGTCATGTGCCCATGATATTCTTTAAATTAGCACAAAGGACACCCGAGATTCTTTAAACTACTTCAAAGCCAAAACAGCAAGTGCCTCTGAGATTCTTTAAATTTCGTTCAAAAACAAACGTCAGTGCCCCTAAGTCTTTAAACTAAAACAAAGAACCCCCGAGAATCTTTAAACTTCTTTCAAAAACAAACGTCAAGTGCTTCTAAGACTCTTTAAACCAACACAAAGGATCCCCGAGATTCTTTAAATTTCTTTCAAGACAAACGTTAAGTGCCCCTGAGATTCTTTAAACATCTTTCAAAAATAAAACCCCGGAGCGTTTGAGATCTTTCAACCTTTCAAACACAAAACAATGAGTGATTCTGAGATTCTCTAAAATAAAACAGAGGATTCCCGATCTCTTTAAATTTCTCTCAAAAATAAGCGTCATGTGCCCCTGATATTCTTTAAATTAACACAAAGGACATCCGAGATTCTTTAAACTACTTCAAAGCCAAAACAGCAAGTGCCTCTGAGATTCTTTAAATTTCGTTCAAAAACAAACGTCAGTGCCCCTAAGTCTTTAAACTAAAACAAAGAACCCCCGAGAATCTTTAAACATCTTTCAAAAACAAACGTCAAGTGCTTCTAAGACTCTTTAAACTAACACAAAGGATCCCCCAGATTCTTTAAATTTCTTCCAAGACAAACGTTAAGTGCCCCTGAGATTCTTTAAACATCTTTCAAAAATAAAACCCCGGAGCGTTTGAGATCTTTAACCTTTCAAACACAAAACAATGAGTGATTCTGAGATTCTCTAAAATAAAACAGAGGATTCCCGATCTCTTTAAATTTCTCTCAAAAATAAGCGTCATGTGCCCCTGATATTCTTTAAATTAACACAAAGGACATCCGAGATTCTTTAAACTACTTCAAAGCCAAAACAGCAAGTGCCTCTGAGATTCTTTAAATTTCGTTCAAAAACAAACGTCAGTGCCCCTAAGTCTTTAAACTAAAACAAAGAACCCCCGAGAATCTTTAAACATCTTTCAAAAACAAACGTCAAGTGCTTCTAAGACTCTTTAAACTAACACAAAGGATCCCCCAGATTCTTTAAATTTCTTTCAAGACAAACGTTAAGTGCCCCTGAGATTCTTTAAACATCTTTCAAAAATAAAACCCCGGAGCGTTTGAGATCTTTAAACCTTTCAAACACAAAACAATGAGTGAATCTGAGATTCTCTAAAATAAAACAGAGGATTCCCGAGATCTTTAAATTTCTCTCAAAAATAAGCGTCATGTGCCCCTGATATTCTTTAAACCACTTCAAAGCCAAAACAGCCAGTGCCTCTGAGATTCTTTAAATTTCGTTTAAAAACAAACGTTAGTGCCCCTAAGTCTTTAAACTAAAACAAAGAACCCCCGAGAATTTTTAAACATCTTTCAAAAACAAACGTCAAGTGCTTCTAAGACTCTTTAAACTAACACAAAAGACCCCCGAGATTCTTTAAATTTCTTTCAAGACAAACGTTAAGTGCCTCTGAGTTTCTTTAAACGTCTTTCAAAAATAAAACCCCGGAGCGTTTGAGATCTTTAAAACTTTCAAAGACAAAACAATGAGTGCTTCTGAGATTCTTTAAATTTCGTTCAAAAACAAACGTCAGTGGCCTTAAGTCTTTAAACTAAAACAAAGACCCCCCGAGAATCTTTAAACATCTTTCAAAAACAAACGTCAAGTGCTTCTAAGACTCTTTAAACTAACATAAAGGATCCCCGAGATTCTTTAAACTACATATTTCAAAGATAAAACAGCAAGTGCCTCTAAGATTGTTTAAATTTATTTCAACAATAAGCATCAAGTTTATTTAAAATCTTTCAAATGGGTGCGTTAAAGATTGTTTAAATTATTTATAACTTAAGGTATTAGGAACCTCCAAAATTCTTTATTATTTTTTTAACAAAGCAACAATTGCTTAAATAGTTATAAAAAAGATAGAAAAAATGTAACGAATAACGCATGTGTTTTATTAATCCATACTGTTGTGTACGACTGATATTTGATAGAGTTGTTTAAAGGCGTAAATTTTACTGTCAAAAATGAGGTTAGACCATTCTGGGTTGTCCATTGTCATCAATTTATTTTAGACGTGCTCCACGATATTTACAAAAAATCAAACGAACACTCGATATGTAAAAATTTTGATAATATCAAAGATGACGTAAGTCAGTTTTGTAGTTTTAATTCTAGTTCTATTGAAAAATGTATTAATATTTTATCTATTCAAAAACAGTTTACATTCAGTGTAATTTTATTTGCATCGCAAATGCAATAAAAACACTGGAATCCAAAGGTCGTATTTTTAAGTGAAAACGTAAACATGTTACAATCAAATATTACTGTGTGTGGAAAAATGAGAAAAAAATTGCGAATTTGACACGATTTTTTTTGACGATAAACTCAGTATTACATTCCTAACATTGATTTTTGTTCCAGGTCAAAAGTGTCCACAAAACGGAAACCTGCATGGATAAAACCCGGAACCATGGCCAGCGCAGGTAAAAAATCTCTTTGGTAACAAAATCCGGACACTTTTCCGTAATTTTTCGAAACTAAATCAATTAATCACAACAGCGGGAGTCACGAGTTGAAAAGCACAGTGGAAACGTACAATTTTATTTACTTTCCGCGATAAAATAGAGTCACGTGTGTTATATGGTGATACCATTTCCGCAGACGATGATTTTCATTACAATGAGACATTCAATTAAACGCCATATAGCAGCGCGCCCATAAAATACCACAATAATTTTAAATTGCTCGGTTCACACTGTTCTATTGCAATAATGGAATATGATTCTCTTGTAATAACGTCGTTACGGCTTCACAGTACAATGTGTAGCTATCTCCCATTAAATTCCGCTCTTCCACTAATAGCAAGAATTTCGCCGCAGACGAGTCGTATCGGCGCAAATATTTTACAATTAAACAAATGTAAATATTGATGCTGAGCGAGAGTAAAAAACAAATGATACGGGTTTGTTTGCGTAAATTGCCGTGTTAACCTAACGCACAATTGTGCATATCGCCACGATAAATGAAAATAAATACTAGTAATATTGACACAAATTAGCCCGTTTGTTCCAATAATGATTAAGTTTGGTAAATAAATTGAGCAGAATTGATCACGGATGAACCTTTGGTTCGGTTATTGCCGGGCGAAAAGTGAATGAATCGCTGACCCACGATGCAGATAAACAGCATTTATTAGTACGCCGCTACTGGATTTATTTTTGCCGGAACAAAGAGGATAATTAGTGGGTGTTTAAAGTGAACATTTTTCACGCCGGTGTTCTTCTTTATCCGCGGTGAATTAATCACCGAAGCGCGGATTATGTGCGTGTTCTTCCGAAAATCCACCAAAATAAAACTCGTCGGATTGACATTTCGTTGTTAAACGTCACGTCGAGCCGCAGAATAAGCGTCTGCGAGCAAATAACGCCGCCTTCCCGGAATTTCCTTAAACATATACAATTTTATTCACTTCATAATACGTCGACATTGAGTGCGGGATTTGCGGAATCGAGTTTCGCCCTATTCATTTTCTTTTTTATGGTAAAATCCAGAAGGAAACTACTCCATTTTTATTGTGTCAGTATCTGTTTCCATTCTCTTTGTTATGATGTCAGTGATTTCGTGTTCTGTCTAATCTTGTCAGCCCGCAGCTTCGCCTCCGGCGGCTTTTAAGGATACATCATGCGAATACAGCGGCGAACCCGCCCTCCAACGAAAATTTCTCATCTTAATGAAAAAATTTCGCTACACACACGTGGCGTTATACCGGCAGGCACATGATTACCTGCCTCATTCCCAAAAGGAATTTCATCAACAAAGCCCTTTTAAATTTTAATTGCGCCTAGTGCTTATTTTTTGAATTAAGCCGCTTTTAGCCCGGCTGGATGTTGTTTTAATGCTGGCCGGGGTAAAACGCGATTTCCGGTATCGACATTCGACAAAACGGGGACTTTATTTACTTTATTAAATAATAATTGGGGTATTGGGGCCTGTCTTAGTTTGGCTGGTATGAGGTATCATCAATCTGGTCAGGGATGTGATCAGCAAAATTATTGTGATCGGGTCTTCCTCGGAAACGATGTAGCATGACGGTAATTAAACCACACTTGTAACAATAAATAATGACACTTAACAACTTTTGAAATAAAAAAATTAATGGGAGCAATCAAAATCATAATGGTTATCAGGCAAATTTTTGCTTCTCTTGAAAGTAAAATAAAACAAAAATAATAATTCAATCGAATATCCTGTAAGATCTGATATCAATTACATCAATTTCATTAAGTTTTTGTGTTATCCCATAAGTCACTTAAGGGTATTAAGATAATAATTATGAAACAATACATGCTCTAGAGTATATTTGGTTGCCTACTTAGTCTCAGAAAACAATTACCCTGTTACAAACGGCAACAGTGGACGGCCTTGACGGAAATAATACAGAGTCATCAAAATTCATTGAGAGAGTTGGCAAACCTGAACTTGAATAATTTGGTTTATTAAGTTGTATAAAAATATTAGCTGTTAGATTTGAAGTTTCAAATTTCAAAACTCAGTGGCGTCTTTTTTCGGCTTTTTTTTTTGGTAAAAACATTAGTTGTCAGATTTGAAGTTTCTAATTTTTGTCACGCCACTGAATTCATTGCCATATAAACTTAAACAAATCTGTCATAAGGTTGACAAACTTCACGACAAAAACAGGGGGTACCAACTCTCTCAATCAATTTTGATGACCCTGTATAATAAATAATATTGTACATATCACAAAAGAAAAATCTATAGGCATCAAGCTCTGATCGAGTTTAATGAATTTCACTTTATTAAAAAAAAATAGTTTAAAGACTCTTAGGAGCTTCGACGTTTTATTTATCCATAGAGCTTAAAGAATCTCAGGGGCCCCAAGGTTATATTTTTGAAAGCGTTGAGGGCTTAAAGGGTCTCAATGTTTTATTTCTAAAAGGGTTTAAAGAGTGTCAGGGGTTCTTTGTGAGAAGGTTTTAAAGAATCTCAAGGGCTCCGACGTTGTATTTGTAAAACGGTTCGAAGAACCTCAGGGGCCTCAACGTTATATTTTTGAAAAGATCCAAAAAATCTCGGGCTCCCGATGTACTATTTTCAAAAGAATTTAAATAAGCTCAGGGGCCTCAAACGTCATATTTTTGAAAGCGTGAAGGACCTAAAGAATCTCAGAGGCCCTTAACTTTTTATTTCTAAACGGATTTATAGAATCTCCAACGTTATCTTTTTGAAAGAGTGAAGGGCCGAAAGAATCTCAGCGTCTCTCGACGTTTTATTTCTAAAACGATTTATAGAATCTCAAAGGATCTCGACGTTCTATTTTCAAAAGAGTTTAAAGAAGCTCAGGGGCCCCCAATGATATGTTTTTGAAAAGGTTTAAAGAATTTCAAAAGCTCTCGACGCTCTATTTTCAAAAGATTTTAAAGAAGCTCTGGGGCCTCGAACGTTATATTCTTGAAAGCGTGAAGGGCCTAAAGAATCTCAGGGGCTCTCGACGTTTTATTTCTAAAAGGATTTAAAGAACCTCAGGGGCTCCCGACGTTCTATTTTCAAAAGAATTTAAATAAGCTCAGGGGCCTCAAACGTCATATTTTTGAAAGCGTGAAGGACCTAAAGAAACTCAGAGGCCCTTAACGTTTTATTTCTAAACGGATTTATAGAATCTCAAAGGATCTCGACGTTCTATTTTCAAAAGAGTTTAAAGAAGCTCAGGGGCCCCCAATGATATGTTTTTGAAAAGGTTTAAAGAATTTCAAAAGCTCTCGACGCTCTATTTTCAAAAGATTTTAAAGAAGCTCAGGGGCCTCGAACGTTATATTCTTGAAAGCGTGAAGGGCCTAAAGAACCTCAAGGGCTCCCGACGTTTCGTCTTTAAAGGACAGTTTAAAGAATCTCCCCCCCCCCCCATTGTTATATTTCTGAGAAGGTTTTAAATTTTTAAAAGGATCTCAAGGGCTCCGACGTTATATTTTTGAAAAGGTTTAAAGAATCTCAGGGGCCTGCGACGTCCTATTTTCAACAGAGTTGAAGGAAGCTCAAGAGCCTCGAACGTTATATTCTTGAAAGCGTGAAGGGCCTAAAGAATCTCAGGGGCTCTCGACGTTTTATTTCTAAAAGGTTTTAAAGAATCTCAAGGGCTCCGACTTTTTATTTGTAAAACGGTTTAAAGAACCTCAGGGGCCTCAATGTTATATTTTTGAAAAGATCCAAAAAATCTCAGGGGCTCCCGACGTTCTATTTTCAAAAGAATTTAAATAAGCTCAGGGGCCTCAAACGTCATATTTTTGAAAGCGTGAAGGACCTAAAGAATCTCAGAGGCCCTTAACGTTTTATTTCTAAACGGATTTATAGAATCTTCAACGTTATCTTTTTGAAATAGTGAAGGGCCTAAAGAATGTCAGGGTCTCTCAACGTTTTATTTCTAAAACGATTTATAGAATCTCAAAGGCTCTAGACGTTCTATTTTCAAAAGATTTTAAAGAAGCTCAAGGGCCCCGAACGTTGTATTTTTGAAAACACGAAGGGCCTAAAGAATCTCAGGAGCTCCCAACGTTTTATTTATAAAAGGATTTAAAGAATCTCAGGACCCCCCCCACGTTCTGTTTTTGAAAATGTTTTAAGAATCTCAGGGGTTCTAAGGTTTTAACTCTAAAATGGTTTACAGAATATCAGGAGCTCGAAGTTTATCACAAGAGCTTAAAGAATGTCAGTGGCCTCCAACGCTACATTTTTTGAGGCTTTAAGGGCTTAAAGAATCTCAGGGGCGCTCAACGTTTTATTTCTAAAAGGATTTATGGAATCTCAGGGCTCCTCAACCTCATATTTTTGAAAAGGTTTAAAGAATCTCAGGGGCTCCCGACGTTCCATTTTCAAAAGATTTTCATTCTTTAAACTCGGAGCTTCTGCTCAGGGGCCTCCAACGTTATATTTTTGAGAGAGTGAAGGGCCTAAAGAATCTCAGGGGCTCTTTAAGAGACAATTTAAAGAATCTCAGTCCCCAACGTTCTAATTTTGAAGTGGTTTAAAGAATCTCAGGGGACGCAGACGTTCTAATTTTGAAGTGGTTTAAAGAATCACAGGGGCTCCCGACGTTTCATCTTTAAAGGACAGTTTAAAGAATCTCAGGCCCCCAACGTTATACTTTTGAAAAGGTTTAAAGAATCTCAGGGGTCTCCAACGTTCTAATTTTGAAGTGGTTTAAAGAATCTCAGAGGACGCAGACGTTCTAATTTTGAAGTGGTTTAAAGAATCTCGGGCTCCCGACGTTTCATCTTTAAAGGACAGTTTAAAGAATCTCAGGCCTCCAACGTTATACTTTTGAAAAGGTTTAAAGAATCTCAGGGGTCTCCAACGTTCTAATTTTGAAGTGGTTTAAAGAATCTCAGAGGACGCAGACGTTCTAATTTTGAAGTGGTTTAAAAAATCTCGGGCTCCCGACGTTTCATCTTTAAAGGACAGTTTAAAGAAT